CTTCAAAATATTAATTATAATCGCAATCTGGATCCGTAAGTAAAGCGAATTTTTCTTTTGTCTTTATCCAGTTAGTTCCAGTTGAGAGACCAACGACAAATGAAAATTTCGCTTCGCGCGAAAAAATTCGCAAGTGGAAAATCGGCATTAGTCTCGGCTTCAGACCTTGCTCGTTTTGTTGGGACTTCGCCATTTTTAGCTCAGTTTGGAACCTTCATTCTTGTCTCGTGTAACTTCGTTTCGTGTTTAATTTGTTCTTCGCGTTCTCTCGTTTCGTGGTCGCGTTGGCGGCCTTCGAGCCATTGTTTCACACGTTTAACATCGTCCGCTGCGGCAAGCTTCGCGTTGATCTCGATGTTCCATGATTTTCTGGTCGAGCTCTTAAGCTGTCCTTCGTCTTAATTGCATTAATTTTGGCTAATCATTCAGCACCACGTTATTAACCCCAGTCTTATGCATATTCGGAGATCAGTTCTTTGGTCTGTGAAATACTTCATTTAAGACAAGTATTATCCGTATGCATGCTGAAAGCAACGGCTATCAATGTAAATTTGAAAGTTACAAAACGAGGACAAAACTTATAAATCGAAGAAGTATGTCTTATATCTTTACTCAGTTGATCGATTCCACCTCGCATGGGGCAGATCGGTTCCACCTCCCATGGTTCAATATTGACATGACAGAATTTATGATAATTGTATTCCATCAACGTATGCATGCTCATTCCAACAAAAATGTCAATATTGACCTAGATGGCAATTATTAAATTAAACAAGACACCTGCTCATGCGTTCACACTGACCTGAGAATGACGATATACGTGCTATGGTGCAATAGACAGGAATACAAAACGTGAACCGCGAACGCCAAAGCGTGAAAGGCTATAAAAGCGTGGCGTCATCCTCAGGAGATGTTTTCGTAATGTCCAATGAAACACAAGTATTACTCACAAATACAAACGTTATCCATAAATGCACATGGTCTCTGAGCATGCGATGCGCTAACGCAGACAACATTTTTTACATCCCGTGAGTCCGTATATTAAACGGTTAGCACTTTTTTCCATCCAGCAAACCGCCCTATCGATTTTGTAAAGTCGTTTCTTTTTGGATTTTTTTATTAATTCGGTTAGGGTTAGGGTTAGGGTTGAGGTAAGGGGTTAGAGTTGGGGTAGGGTTTGGGTTAGTTACATAGCCATTTAACCAGGGACGCCGGAACTGGGGGGGGGGGCAGCCGCTCCCGTTGCTAATGAGGACCTTTTCAAACTTGAAAACTATGATTTTATCAACATGAACCGTAGCGGTAAAAACGTGGAGGAATAGGTATTTATATAAAACAAGGAATAAAATACAAATTACGCGCTGACATAAACATAAGTATACAGAAACTACAATTGAATCCATATTCATAGAACTCATTACAGCTGTTGGTAAAAACGTAATAATAGGAGTAATATACAGACCGCCAAACAAAATTGATTCGTGTGAAAATATAATGAATCAGATACTGGGCAAACTAGACAAAGAAAATAAGATGACCTCATGGGGGGTTTTAATATAGATCTTTTGAAATCAGAATCTTGTGATTATACTAGCAGATTTCTAGAACAAATGTTTACGTCTTCATTTTTCCCACTTATATTAAGACCAACAAGAATCACACAACACACTGCCACATTAATTGATAACATTTTTACTAATTTAAAGTTTGTTCGTTACTGCAACCAGGTATATCAACCATGTTTCGCTCGCTACTCTGGTTTAAATGATTACAAAGCCCAGTCGAATTGTAATCAAGACCCAACGTTTCGACACTCCAGTCTAGTGTCTTCATCAGGGGTGATCTAAAGATGCAATCTTGGCTTCTTAAATACCCAAGGGATGACGTCACCTGCCAATGAGATGCATATATTCCTCTGGCAAATAGGCACCGTTCTCCCTATTCAAAGCATGATTGCTCATATTTATATGCCACGCTTCTAGGCAAAGTCTTTGACCAGAGTGATTGTTTGTGGTAATTACTTTATAGTTTTCCCACGCAATCTCGTGTTTGGTGTAACATACATGTTCGGCTAAAGCTGATTTTCCCTTGTCTAAAGTCAGAGCCCTTTTACTATAGCAAATAAATTCAACGAATATTTTGTAAACGTCGGACCAGGAATAGCCAACAAAATACCATGTTGCAAAAGAACAATTAATGAATACCTTTCGCATAACTTATAAAGATAGTTTTTTTCTTGAACCAATTACAAAATATGAAATTGAAACAGAAATAAAAAAGTTAAATTCTAAAAAGAGTCCAGGTATGATGGTGTGAGTTCACAAATTATTAAGAAAATTGCTAATGAAATTTCTGAACCTCTTGCACACATTTTCAATTTAACTTTTCTTAGTGGCATTATTCCTGACAATCTTAAAATAGCACTATTTATACACCAATTATCAAATGAAATTAACCAATTCAAAAATTATCGACCCATATCTGTTTTGTCTTGCTTCTCAAAAATATTTGAAAAGCTTATGTATAGGAGACTAATGAAATTCATTAAAATTAAAATATTATTACAGAATCAATATGGCTTTAGAGAAAATAGATCCACAGAGCTTCCAATTAGTGAACTAACTAATAAAATTACTAAAGCAATTGATCAAGGAGAATACACAATAGGTATTTTTCTAGATTTGTCCAAAGCCTTTGATACTATCAATCACAAGATTCTGATTCAAAAACTCCAACATTACAGTATTATACGCGGAATAACTCAACAATGGTTCTTAAATTATTTAACAAACAGAAAGCAAATAGTTAAATATAATCAAACTAGATCAGAAGAGATGGTAATAAAATGTGGTGTTCCACAAGGATCTATCCTTGGACCAATATTATTTCTGCTATATATACATGAATAAATGATATTGAGTATTGTAGCAAATTGCTTTCATTTATATTATTTGCAGACGACACGACTATATTTCATAGCAACGTTAACAGCTGTCTTAAAACACTTAACACTATTATCCAAACTGAATTAAATAAGGTTGAAGAATGGTTAAATGTAAATAAGTTATCCCTAAATATAAAAAAAACGAAATTTATCTTATTCAGATCTTCAAATAAAAAACCTAAACTGGACATCAAAATTAATATAAACAATGAGGAAATTGAACAAGTCAAATGTACTACGTTTCTTGGTATTATTATTGACGAATGTTTGACCTGGAAAGATCATATTAACAAAATAGCGAAATTGATAACAAAAGCCTCCGGAATAATAGCAAAAATTAGACATTGTATATATGAGCAGAAATGCGTTAAAACTAATTTATTATGCATTGGTCTATCCATATCTTATTTACGGCAATTTGGTGTGGGGTAATACCAACAACAGCAGAATTCAAAAAATTATGAATATACAGAAAAAAAATGTTCGCCTAATGACATTTAATTCGTATTTGGAACACACTAAGCCTATTTTCAAAGAATTAGGCATTTTAAATATATTTAATATAAATGATTTTTTAACTTCACTGTTTATGTTTCGATATCACAACCTAATAATTTACCAGAATTGTATTGGTAACAAATAGTCAGATTCATCAGCATAACACGAGAAATGCACAGAAACTACATAAGGGACCGTTCATTAATTAAGGACCAGGGGGGGCTGGAGGAAAATTAGGGGGGTTGCCAAAACAATTTATGGTTAGAAGGGGGGGACCTTTAAATTTTTTTCAGCATGAAAGGGGGGGTTGCCAAAATTATTTGTGGTAATTATTAATTTTTTTATGTTGACCAGTATGCTTATATTAGTCCGGAAAATTTTTTAGACTATGCTTATGTTCGTCCGGAAATTTTTTTTACCTCCAACTTCTAAGAACGTGCAGAGTAGGATAAATCCAAAATCCACAGAAAAACGCGCTAAAATTCGTTGACAAATGAACTGAATTGTTGGAGACTGAAATAGTCACTCGTTGAATGGCCGCCATCTTGAAAACTGATCTGTATAGTAAACGGGAATAACTGTAACACAGGAAACTGAGCCAACTCGATTTCTCGACGACGAAAAAAACAGGAAAATGCAGGAAAAAACAAGGGAGCACGCAAGAGTTCGTTTTGCCCATAGATATAGGAGATCTAGATTGCTAACGCATACCTAGCGCAGGCGGGGCCTACATGATAAATCCAAGATGGCGGTACAACAGGGCAAAAAGACTATAGATTCTATTACGAAAATCAGGATTTTTGCATTTTTTGCCGTCGCATTGTTTCGAAACTTATTCGGTCAAATTTTATGGTAAAGAGAAACTTACCGCGAAGATTTTGAGCATATATATGATTGAATTGGATGAAAACTCGCAAAATTATCCAGCGATAAAAGTTCGTGTGAAATGGTCAGTTGGTCAGTTGGAGCGTTTTATTGCCAGAAATACTGTGCTATGTTAACATCTAGCCTTGTGAATGGTGTTTTATACTTGCATCTCTCATCATCATCTGCTCTGTCCTCATAATTATGAAAAATGAACTGTTATGTACCCCCCCCCTCCTTGCTTGTTAGAGAAGTAAACTGATGAGAGCACTGGATGAGGGTCTATCATCTATGGTCTGTTATAATTTGCTTTTTTATGCAAATAGTGAGCGAAAATTAAAGCAAAACTGTACAAGTTACTTATATAGTACTATATCAGTACTATACACGAACTTTTATCGCTGCATAATCCAATTTCATCCAATTCAATCATATATATATGCTCAAAATTTTCGCGGTAAGTTTCTCTTTACCATAAAGCTTGACTGAATAAGTTTCGAAACAATGCGACGGCAAAAAATGCAAAAATCCTGATTTTCGTAATAGAATCTATAGTCTTTTTGCCCTGTTGTACCGCCATCTTGGATTTATCATGTAGGCCCCGCCTGCGCTAGGTATGCGTTAGCAATCTAGATCTCCTATATCTATGGTTTTGCCTGTCTTTTAATCACTTTATTACCTTCGTTTTGTTTTTGTCCGCCATTTTGAAAATATATGCGGTATCATTCGTTAATGTATCGCAGGCGCCTGCGATCCATTAATGAATGATACCGCATATATTTTCAAACTGGTGGATAAAAACAAAACGAAGGTAATAAAGTGATTAAAAGACAGGCAAAACGAACTCTTGCGTGCTCCCTTGTATCCAACGGATAAAAACGCACTGTCTATCCGTTGGATACATTTATCCGAGGTTTGGAGGTGGTTTAAATCCGCTATCCGGCGGATAAACTCGAAGTTTGAAGACAAAACAATGTGTATTTCAGATAAAAGGGGTTGCCATTGTGATAAAGGAGGAGAAATACAGTCCAGAAGTCCCTTTCTTGACACTAAAATCTAAATAAACATGGAAACTTACTTTATATGACTAGTCTCTTGCTCTTGACGTACACCGAGCTCATTTTGACTCACTTGCCCATTAAATAATGCCATATTTTACACAGACCAGTCGGCAGTGTCAGTGCTTAGTCGTGAAGTTTTCTGGCTTTTTTCTGTATTATATAGCTCGAAAACAAGCAATAAAACTTTCATCAAATGAGTTCCCTTCAACGCCAAACAAATATAGCCGCTACATATAAAACAGACAACAAGGCGCCGAAAGTCGAAAAATATTTCAGTTCGCTGACCTTGATTGGCCTTGATTAGCCAATCAAATCTTGCGAGAAAATGTTCTTAAATTCTTAAAATTCTTCAAAACGTTTTATAGGAACGAACTTTCTAGTACATTTTATGTTCAATATATAGACCACAGTAAGACTCGAAAAAATCGCAAATAATCTTTCACATTCACGAAAAATTAGGGGCTCAATATTCAATCATTCACTGCCAACAAACAGAAGAGAAACCAGATCATCTCATCCTAATCATTTGTCGGCCCTTTGTCACTCACAACATTAACACGATGCGAGACCAACACCTACCAAAAATCGTATTTAAACAGATCGAGTGTGGAATGTACTGCCAAGGGATTTGACAGCTAGGCCGTAACATAAGCATAAGTCAGTTCAAAAATGGACTTTTCAAGTAATATAACAAGCTTTCGTTGGTAGGGATGCAACTACTTGAAAAATATAAGGCGAATTTCGACGTTTCGAGCGAAGGCCCTTCGTCTGGAGTTAATAGCTAGTTATAGATGAGTTACTAACTATATAGTTATTACCAATTAGCTGTAAGAAACGTACGGTATGGATGATTCAAGAACATGGAAATCTATTGCAAAAAGTCTCGTAATATATCCTGTAAAATATTGTGTTGTCATTAGTTTTTATAGTTTCAATGTGTTTGTTCGTATCTTATTATCTGACAGTGTGATACTGTATAGACCACTCCGAATTAGACTTTATAGTTTCCCGTGTCTCCCACACACGTAAAAATGTCACATCTTGTAACAAGTCTACACACGTAAAAATCTCGCATCTTGTAACAAGTCTGCCAACAAGCTGTTAACAAAATGTATTCGCACTGCTTGTCACAAGTCAACAGGTTTAGAACAACTTGTAGACAACCTGTAATAACCTTGTCGAAATTATCAGACTTGTTGCAAGGTTGTTCTGACAAGTCCAGTTACATGCTTAGTATAACAAGATTGTTAGAACCTTGTGTTGACAACCTTGTAACATCCTTGTTATATCATGGCTGTAACAAACTTGTTAGCACAGTCTTGGAACTAAAGCTGATAATGCCATCAAGCTTGTTACAAGTTGTTAACAGCTTGTTTCAAACTTATCACAACAAACTGGGAAGAAGCAGTGCGAACACAACTTGTTGACAGCTTGTGAACAGATTTGTAACAACTTGTTTGCAGACTTGTTACAACTTTGAATTTTTACGTGTGTAGAACTAGCCGCATGATTTGTCCATTATTGTTTGTGTTTTTTCTTCAGTTGAACTTCACCCATTCTTGCCTCAGCCTGGACTAAAGAAATTCTGCGCGGAGAAAGGTTTGTTAATGGTGTTTACTTAATCCTGGGTCGTTGATAATCAACTTTCATTCCCTTTAAATAATCAGATATTTTAAAATCAATATAAATTTTCTCTAATTCTTACAGGAATTCTCATTACGGCGTATTCTTCCTTGGTGTCTCCTGACCGTCCTGGCAGTGGCGAAGCTGATCCTGTCCTCATGGATGAACCTCTGGTCAAAGAAATTGCAGTGAAACGCAACTGTAGCCCAGCACAGGTTTGTTTAAAATTTCTCAAACGTGGTGGTCTATAGTGTAGGTAGTATTTTACAGTGAGCTGTCGTGGTTTGTGTCTGAACTACCTGAAAAAGATATCTCAAACGTGGTTGTCCAGTATAGGTAGTATTCTACTATAAGTTGTCGTGGTTTGTGTCTGAACTACCTGAAAAAGATATCTCAAACATGGTGGTCCAGTGTAGGTAGTATTCTACAATAAGCTGTCGTAGTTTGTGTTTGAACTACCTGAAAAAGATATCTCAAACGTGGTGGTCCAGTGTAGGTAGTATTTTACAATGAACTGTCGTGGTTTGTGTCTGAACTACTTGAAAAAGATATCTCACACATGGTGGTCCAGTGTAGGTAGTATTCTACAATAAGCTGTCGTAGTTTGTGTTTGAACTACCTTAAAAAGATGTCTCAAACGTGGTGGTCTAGTATAGGTAGTATTTTACAATGAACTGTCGTGGTTTGTGTCTGAACTACCTGAAAAAGATATCTCAAACATGGTGGTTCAGTGCAGGTATAGTATTCTACAATAAGCTGTTGTGGTTTGTACATGTCTGAACTACCTGAAAAAGACATCTCAAACATGGTGGTCCAGTGTAGGTAGTATTCTACAATAAGCTGTCGTAGTTTGTGTTCGAACTACCTTAAAAAGATATCTCAAACGTGGTGGTCTAGTATTAGGTAGTATTTTACAATGAGCTGTCGTGGTTTGTGTCTGAACTACCTGAAAAAGATATCTCAAAATATCGACTATATCGAAAATATTCAAATTAGCAAAATTACGAAATGTAGTTGGTCAATATACCGCATGACAAACAGCAAAATAAATGTATACCACGTAAAAACAGCAAAAAAACAACGTTACGCGAAACTAGTTGAATATCAAAAGGTTTATTTACTACAATATGATCATTTTAGGAATGTTAAAAAGATTTATTTACTATTTACACTTATTCAAATACATACATACATATACAAAAATTTATTTATGCACGCTGGCCTCAACAACTATAAGAGCGGATTTCCATGAGGGGCGTGATTTTAGAAAGGTCTAGAAAGAAAGATAAACCTTACTAGATTGACAAAAACAAAGAAAGAAGAATTACTATATAGGCAACAGGACGAGCCAATTTTAAGTGCTTGCCTGGTTAACAGTTCTTTGAAGAGAACGTCTTAAAGATTCCGCTACTTTTACCTCATACGGTAGATTATTCCATATACTACCGCTCCGTTATATTTGAAGCATCTTTTACCGAAATCGGTATTCGGTTTAGGAAGAGATAAATCGGTTTCTTTATTTCTAAGATCATAGGTATCACATTCATTCAATCGAAAGGATGTTGTTAGATTTAGAGCATGCAGTGTGGTTATTCAGAATTTTATATGAGTCATCAACACAGGCAGTCAGGTTGTGGTCTTTTGTGATAAACACTTGCCCGCGCGTGTTTTGTTCTAGATTTTTCGATATTTTTCAGTGTTTTCGATATTTTCGGTATTCGAGATATCGAATATCGATATTTTTTTAAATTTCGATATTTATCGACTATATCGATATATATACCGTCGCACGCATGTCTCGAAATGTACGCTTTCATGCCATTCTGGATTAGCATACGAAAAATGCAACCAAGCAATACAGACACTCTCAACTTATTTGATATCCTTTGTAGGACGAACAGAACATATGTGTCATTATACGCCGCCATATGTAAATTTGAAAGACCCAGATACCTCTTGCGGACAGAATGTATAGCATTTCTCCTAACCGAAGCGAAATTTCCCTTCATATGCCATTTTTGACCGATATCCAAGCAATATATTATATCATTTTTCAAGCTTCCAAGTGTTTTCGCCTTGCCGAAATTGCCCGATAACTGCGCGTCATCTTGCCAGGCAAAAACTTCAGTTTAATATAAAGGAAAGTCCGTTTACTCCTTGAAGAATTCATGTCTGGTAGATATTTATGTTATAGTATAATTTTATTCGAAATAATACACATATGTCATATTATGGATAATTTTCACATTATAGTCAATATAGTATTGAGTACATTATCAGTTTTGTTTTTTTAGTAATATTGATATGCATTATACTGCATAAGTTGCTAATCACAAATGTTCTGCGCGCGGCCTCCAGGGAAAACCTGACACTGAGCTAGAAATGTCTAAATTGTTTTATTTCGTTCCTTTAATGTTAATGAGAATGGCATTGAATATTTTGTCGATTGCTTTTACCGTTATACTGCAGTTATATTATGAAAATCAACCGCTGCCCTTTTCAGATTTGGAATCTGAAAATGAAGTCATGAATCTGAAAGTGAAATAGTTTGCTCTGTTCGTTATAAATATGCTTCGGTCGGTAGCGATCAAATCCATTGGACATCGACACAGGTTTCCGAGTGTCCTGAAAGAAAAAAAAATTGAATCAACAACGAATGGTTGATAAGGTTTTTTT